TGTGTGTGTGTGTGTGTGTGTGTGTGTGTGTGTGTGTGTGTGTGTGTGTGTGTATATATATATATATATATATATATATAAAGAAAAAATATAGAGTGATCTGAGAGTGTCAAAAATCTTTTATTATAGAAAGTTATTATTATTAGTTAAACAATATAAAATCTTTTTAAGAATTTCTTAAAAAGATTTTATATTGTTCTATTTTTTTCAATCTTATTCAGTTTTTTTATTTTGTATAAAATAACTATTTTTCTTATGATTTTATGGAATGTAATGTGATACATTTTGACTGCAAAGATCAAATTAAGAATACTTTTCTTGCATTAAAAAAGTTAATTCTAAACAGCTTAAAAACTTTAAAATTTTGAAGAATAAGTTGTAATTAGTGTTATATCGTTCTTAGCTTATAATCATACTGCAATATATATGTTGAATTCTTACACACATAGCTCCTTCTTTGGAATCTACTGTAAATATATTTGAGACTAATCAATCGTCATCTACAAATGTTCAGCTTGACGAACCTTCATCGAAAAAAAAGAATTCAATTCAAGAGAAACTAAGACAAGGTAACATTGAAAATTTAGTATTCATTGAATCATTTCTATGCAAAAATATCTAATTTTTAAACACTAATTGCCTAGAGAGGAAAAGGAAACAAATGGAAAAGCAGATGGAATTTAAAAAGCGTATGATGGAAAAAGAAGGGTTAGTGTTTACCAATGACAACAAACCTAATCCCAAATATTAAGATATTGGAAATTGCATATAAATCTTTACATTCAGCATATTACATATTTAGAATATTTATTAATAGTATATATAAAAATATTAATTCTTGTTGATAAGGTTAAATGATATTATTCTTTATACTTGTGTATATTCTCACTCATGTCTATTTTTTTAATAATGTGCAAACTAAATATTTGTTTTAAATAAATATTGTAATCTATAAATAAAAATATAAAATAAAATATTTATAATGCTATTAATTAAAATCGTAGTATAACGTAAATTGTACATGTATCATTTAAAAGAGAGGTTAGAAGTCTCACGTAAATGGTTAAACACACAAATATTTCAGAAATTTGGAGTTGTATACGAAATTATTTAAAAATAGACTTCCTGTGTTTATTTTTGTATTCGTTCGTTAAACATAAAATAATGATATTAATATCCTGAAAATTACTTAAAATTCAGATTTAATTGATATTGAGTGAGATAAACAAGAAGATTGAATTAGATGTTATCCACGTGATCGATTTGCAAAAAAAATCAAGATACATTTTTGATTCATATATTTTTCAATGAAAATATTGTTCAAATAAACGAAGACCAAATAAATAGAAAACAACACTAAGAATAACAAGAATTGTGGATTGCTTCACATAATTTTTATTTACACTTTGTACATGTGTCAATGAATAATGGATCAATACTTTGAAAGTTATGAAGAACTTGACGTAAGTGAAACAAATACATATATAATCATTATTATATATATTATATTTACTACATTGAATTTTATTTTTAGATTCATCAATTAATGCTAAATGACAAAACACGTGTCTTGGCATATAAAACTGCCATTTTTAATTCCAAAGAGAAATTTCAAAACAAAATAGTAATGGATATCGGTGCTGGCTCAGGTATTCTTGTATTTAAGGGATATGTATAATCATAATATGTACGTTACATATTTTGTTCATATATATTTTTTGTACAGGTATATTATCAATTTTTTGTGCACAAGTTGGTGCAAAGAAAGTTTACGCAGTGGAAGCAAGTATGCTGGCAAACAGTATCGAGCAAGTGTCAATTGAAAATAATGTGCAGGACAAAGTTAAAGTAATTCACAATAAAGTAGAGGACATCTCTCCAGACAGTTTGGAGAAAGTAGACATAATTGTGTCGGAATGGATGGGTTTTTATTTAGTACACGAAGGAATGTTAGATTCTGTATTATTCGCTAGGGATAACTTATTACACGAGGATGGTCTGTTATTTCCATCCATTGCAAAGTTATATGCCTCGCCATGTCAATTACCTTCCATGTTTGATTTTTGGAATAACGTATGCGGAGTCAGTATGAGGTAATTGTATTACTTCAGAAGTAAGAACAAAAGTAAGATACTGTGGTTTGGATACTATCGTTTGTCATTTCATCATTTCTTTTTTCATTATCACAAATACTGTATATTTATTCTGCAGTACTCTCTAAAACTTTTAGAGTGAACTCACTCTGAAAAGTTAAATCTCACTCTTAAAAATTGAAAATTGAGCTACTTTTTCGAGACTGGTTCAATTTTCACTCTTTAGAGTGAGATTCTAGTCCTAAGAATTTAGACAATATGTTCAATTTTTATTTAGGTGTATTGGAAAGGAGTATAGAAAAACTAAATCCTTAAAGCCAGAAATTCTGCTTGTAAATCAAGATGATATTTTGACGGAAGGCAAATTGCTTGCATGGCTGGATTTGGAGTGCATCTCTGTGGAAGAGATAGATTTACTAGGTGGACAGAACTACGTATCGGTATGCAAAAAGGATGGAAAGTTCCAAGGGATGTGCATTTGGTTTGCAGTCGAATTTCCAGATGGTTCGGAACTGTCTACGGGGCCTCATGACAAAACGACGCATTGGAAGCAAACTGCAATGGTCTTGCCCGAAGATATGGAAGTGACAAGGAACGAACCTATTGCTTTCAAATTCGAATTGAAAAAAGATGCGTCACATCCGAGGCGTTACAATATGGAATTGAGTTTGTTGGATGCAGAGGAAGTGGAGCATGACATTCCTTGTGATTGTCACATGACGAAATGTATAGTGACTAAAAAGTACATTGATGACTTGAAATGAAAGTGAATCAGACGCAGCAAAAAAGGATTTGATGTGACTTGTACATTTCAATATGAAATATTATATTTTTTCGCTAAAATATAATCTAAATAGAAAATTTATTTCTAATTTTAATTTTTCAGAATTTTTTAAAATTTTATATATAATTTTATAATTTTTTAGAAAATTTCTCAAACTTTTGATTCATGAGAACACTTTTTTCAAAAGTACTTGGAAAATTTAGAGTCCGTTTTTATCAATGTAGATTAAAATTTTACTAAGAATTATTAAACTGAAATTAAAGTTAATTTATATTGGTAGAAGGACAAAAAATTTTTTAGAATCTTTCATGTATGTGAATTTTGAAATAATTTAAGATTTTCAAGATTTTTTGTTCTATAATTTCTGAAAAAAAAACTTGAAGTATAAAGAATTTTTTCAGAAATCTCTCTTCATAAAAATATAAATTTAAAAAAAATTCTCAAAAATGTGAGATAATATGAGAATTTTTTTCATTAGAGATTATTAGAAAAATTTTAATAAGAAGTTAAAAAACCAATAAAACTCCAATTATCTTAATCAACGATTGATTCAAGTAACAGTAATATTTTATTATAATTAATTAAAATTGCTTCGAATTATCAAAATCAAGCTAAAGTAACATCTCGTTTTTCTGGAATGAACAGACGCGTGGTGAATATTTAATAAGAGCAGTCGCGTGATTCTTCCTTCGCATGGAAATCGACGAGGATGCGATAAAAGGCTTTAAAATACAATATCCATTTTTTCCTTCACGCCTGAATGGGCCGCGCACGATGCGCATGCGTCATTTCATCAGGCGGAACAATCTGGACAACTACTGGGAATACTGGGCTTGACTCGTCTTGTCACCGGGGTGGGACGAATCGTCGCTCGCGGGTGCGTCTATCGTGGCGACGAAGTGACCGTCTCCACGCCAGTCGAGCGCACCACGCACCGGTTGTTCCGAGGATAACACCTGGCAAGATGAAGATGGCGGACGGACCCACGATCCTACGGAGAAACAGGCCCGGGACGAAAGCAGAGGTTATTAACGCTGTTATAATTTCGTTAAGAAACCGTCATACTGTCGGGCGACACCTCAATCATCAGAATCCGCCTGATAGTGGAAATTTCTTCACATCCTCTTTCATTTGACACTTTCCCGATGAAATCAATGAATTCCGAGTAAATGGAACTACTGTTTACACTACGTGAATGTTGTCCCCAAATTCCTAGCATCATTTAGTTTCACAACATCTTTTTAGTTTTTTTACCTTTATTGAAGCGTAACAGATCGACAGATAATTTCTTTGTATTCTTATCTGCGTGTTTTATGTACGCTTTTATCTCTCGGTTGTTTTTATTGATTCAATATTGTAAGTAGTAAAATATGCAGAGAGTACTATGTTTATACGTAATATTAGATCTATTTTTACATTGTAATGAGCTATATAGTAAAGAAGAAATCGATTGTTTATGAGGATGCTGACGTAAATTTAATTATTTTTATAAGAGCTTACGATCAAGGCTTTATTTTGCTCTATAGGATTTTAGTAGGTGGCCGGATGAGCCGTTTGAAGAAATGGATAGCACGCTGGCCGTGCAACAGTACATTCAACAAATGATTAGAAGAGATCCATCTAATATTGATTTGATACTCAATATGCCAGAGGCCAATGATGAAGGTGTATGGAAATACGAACATCTCAGGCAATTCTGCATGGAGCTCAATGGTTTGGCAGTTAGACTGCAAGAAGAATGTCATCCTGAAACTTGTACACAGATGACAGCCACTGAACAGTGGATATTTTTATGCGCGGCACATAAAACTCCCAAGGAGTGTCCAGCAATTGATTACACGCGACACACATTGGATGGAGCGGCATGTTTACTTAACAGCAACAAATATTTTCCCAGCAGGTATCTCTTTCATGTCTTATTCATAATGCTTTACATTTTTATCATAAATAAACCTGTATGAAAATTTTCCTGTGTAAAATTGTATTTCAGAATCAGCATCAAAGAATCTTCTGTAGCAAAACTTGGCTCTGTCTGTCGTAGGGTTTACAGAATATTTTCTCATGCATACTTCCATCATAGAACAATATTTGATGAATTTGAAAATGAAACTTTCCTTTGCCGCAGGTAAAGAATGTGATCTGCAGATATATGAATATTTTTCTATGTTGTGTTACAAAGGAGAATTATTATTTTCCATTGTTATAGGTTTACGGCATTTGTAACGAAATATAATCTGATGTCAAAGGACAATTTGATAGTACCTATTATGGAAGGCGAAGGCGCAACAGAAAGCGAAGCATAGGATCTAACGTTGCGATCGTATTGCCCAAAGTCAAATTGCCAGATTTAGTAAGAACAGAAAAATGCTAATATTCACACATTAATCCGTTTCGTGATTAATATAACGAAGATCTTTGAAAGAGATCAGAAAGTTCAACTCTTATTTAAATAATATGAATTTGTTATAATCTATCTTCAATATATACAAAATATCGAAAAATAAAAAATATGTATGTAAATTGTATTTAAAAATTCGTATTACATTAGAGTTTACATTACTTTTTTTTAATTCGTGTTCTAATATAGAGCAAGTTAATATAAAAAAATTTCTGAATTTAAATGTATGATAACATTCAAGACGCTTGCTTTATTAGAGTTGTCGAATTGTATTTTCTTGACGACTGTGACAAATTTCAAAGATCTTGAAAAAGACATATTCTCATCTTTGCTCAGTACCTTATATTGAACAGAAATTTTCCTTGAATGTTTTATTAATAGCTGTTCAATGATTGTTGTAAACAGAATATTTCTCGTATCTGATAAGCACAATATCTTACATTCATTCAATTCTTTTAATTTAAGATTTAAGATCTGTGTGCAAAGATAAAATTTCATTAAAACTATCAAATTTCTTGGAAAAACATATTGTATATGATAATTTAATCTTTGTTATAGTTTTTATAATATATTACATATTTAAAGAAAAAAAAGGAAGAGAGATATGATGTTATAAACTTTTCATCTTACGCTATTGAAGTTACTAGACAAAAAGTGTCTCATCTCTATATAATATATATTATACTTTATCTTCTGTAAACATCTTTTTGTAAAAAAATAATAGACTATCTTTCTATGCACTAAATACGTATAATGGAAAAATATATAACTCATTTATATACATATTATGTATGTTACACAAATTCAGTTCACGTGAATAATTGTTCATAAATTTCGGAATAAGTATAAACAAAATTTTGTCAAATTACTTTTATTAAAATTCTATTAAATTTTTATAATGTCATCGATTAATTTACTTATAAAGATAGCGTGCATTCTACTGAATCGTCAGAATTTTTCATTATGAGAACTAATGAAATAATATTAATTACATTATTGCTTTTATTCCATTTGATAAAATAATAAATTTAGCTGAAAAATAATCTTTATCAAAGCAGCTTTTGAGATAAGATCCAGTTATACAGAAATTTCAATAACAATAAGGTGAAGATAACACCTCGAATGTTTGTTGCCGAATTGTATAACCAGAAGAATGCGAATTTATATAAACAATTGTAGAATTTTACACATTATTATACATCATATTAGTTTAGAATGATCATAATATATATATATAATCGTGATCACGTAGTTGGTCTTTATAAAATGTATTGTTTGAACGAGAGAGACATAGCGATAAATGTGGTATAGCACTGTTATTTATAGTACATATACATTTATTCCATATAGCAATACAAATTACAAGATGGTAAGCTTTCCTATGCTGTTTTCGAAATTTTCGTAATAGTTTACGGTGAATTTTGGACAGATTGCTTGTTCCATAGTATATTGGATATAAGACTAGATCGAAACTACAATAAAAGAGAAATGTAGAGTGGCTGAGCGCCTTATCAATTCGATCGTCTGTGTCGTCTTTTCGAATCTATTATAAGGTTATTATAAAATTATAGCGCGAATACGAGTGTCGTTTTTTAAACGAATAATATTTAATGAAAAGTTTTTTTAACCAGCGGAATAGATTAAGATGAAATCTTACGACAACCGATCAATGATGGCATTACTTTCTGATGTGCCGAATGTTCATTGTAATACGTAATTTTCATCTTCTAAAAGTAATATCTTTGTGATCACATGTTTTTTTTGTTATACGCTGGAAGATAGAACCATTTATAGAACTCATACTCAACATATATCGATGCATGTTGTTACATGAAAGTTGTAATGAATATTTCTCGTAACGAGATTCTATTAAGCAGCACTGGCTTTGACATTGCGAGATTGTTTCTTTTCGTATTCGACGCACAGAGGAGAATATTGTAACACTGTATATAAAACTTGTAAGTACAAAAAGACTCGAGTTATAATGTATTAATGAATATCGCGAGATGTGACGAGAAAATATGCAGCAGGAATACATATATGACGTGTGACTGTTTCCATGAAAATTGTCTATGTATAATGGTAAAGAAATAAAATTTCTACATAAGATCTGTGTTATTTCTTTTTTGCAATTATTATCAGAATGAAGCGATATCTTGTATGGCTGTTTAATTGCAATTTGTTATCATCAGTACTCAGAACAAAAGATATTTAAATTTTGTAAGATTTACTAAATTAAGTCTTGAATGACTCTTTAAAAAAATCATACACATAATATTATTCATTTTAATTTGATTTTAGTTAGAAGATTTAATCGTTTACTTTTGATATCTCGAAAGAGCTATACAACTTTGTAACATAATTATATTCTTATTAATTGTATATTTGTATATTTATAAAAAAAGGAGAAAAAATTTTAAAAATATGAAGAGCTCTTTTAAAAATATGAATAGTGAACAAAATTAAAAATATTTTCTATTTAATTTTTTTATTAGTTATATTAGTTACGATGTTTTTTTTTCTTCGAATGTAGTTCCACGTTTTCTATCGCCTTGTTTTTTTTTCTTTTCTTATTTTTGTTCATTATTCTAGATTGCTCGTCGATGCAAGACACATCACCAGTATTTTCTGTTGTACTACCCGTTTTTACATCATTAATGCTTTCTATTGTGTCGAGTTTTACATCACCAGTGCTTTCTATTCTGACGCCCATATTCACATCACCAGTGCTTTCCGCTGTAGTGTCCATTTTCGAATCATCAGTGTTTTCTGTTGTAATCGTTTTTGATTCCGTTGCATTTTCATTTCTCAGAAATCTTCCACTATCTCCAGGTGCTTGATATCTATTGAAAAATATAATTTTTGATTATAATATTACATATTTCTCATATACACGCATCTATATGTCACGAAGAAAATAAAAAAAACTTTCAAAAGATAGTAATTTTAATTTTATAATTATAACAAAACTATTAGCAAAACGTGTTAAAAATAAAAATATTTTACAAATAATATTAGGTGTAGTAAAAAGAAATCCATTATTTTTGCATGAAATTGAATGGAAAAATAATGGATTTCTTTTTAATATACCTAATATATTTTTCTTTTAATTAATCCTAGTAAAGTTTGAGTGAAACTCAAACTTTACTAGGATTAATATTTTTAATTAATAAAAAATATTCAAATTTATTTAAATATCGATAAAAATGCTTCTTAAAATTAAATTTTTTCAAATTTTTTTCGTTTATGATTTATGGGCACCAATAACAAATATAAGACTGTGATTGTGTGACAAAGTTATATAGTATCTTGAGAGTTGTCAAATATAAATAATTAAATCTTCAGACTAATTCATCAAATTAAATGAACATCATATGTATAATTTTTTAAATGAATTATACACGGCTTAATTTAGTAAATCTCACCCAAGTTCAGTTGTGTCTTTAATATCCTTAGTCAGTAAAATATGGATTTCCGGTATCCGATGAGCCTTAACAGTATCCTCTTTCGACTTTTCCGAGCTAAAATCAGATGGCGATTAAATCAAGAGTGTCAAGATTGTACAGTGTACATTGACATATATTTTGACAAACCTACTTGACGTAACGTAGCTTTGTTACTTGATGAAGATTCTCGTATTTTCTCTTAAAGATTTCTGCACAAGAAATTGTTTTCGCGACGCCACTTCCGGTCCCCGTCCAGATAATACTGTTATAACTGGGAAATTCCTTCATCGCGTAGCCAAGAACATTCCTGATCTTTGTACCGCTCTTCACCTTTTAATGCAGATATATTTTATGAATAAATTGCATATTTCATAATTCTGAAAGAAGACTTGGATAGAAGACTTACATGCATACAGAGAAACTTTTCTGGCAAATTATGTATTGGCACTTTTGTATTTGTCGACTCTTCAGTTTGTCTTTCTGTCGATTTTTCTTGTTGTATCTTCTTCTTCCATTTCGATCTTCCCATCTGAAATTTGTACAAAATAGAAATCATTTTTAATATAATTTTATTCTTTACATACTAAACAATTCTTATTTATTACTCATTGAAAGATAACTAATTGATTGAAAAGGAATTGATAAGTTGATTGCGAATCGTTGAATTATATTAATCAATTTAATTTTATTTATTTAATAATTTAATGTCATCAAGCTTTATGTTTTTAAAGAGTTTAATTGAACTTTTAATTATTAATATCAATAGTTCTTTAATATCAAAGTATAAAGAAAAACTGTGGAAATACCGTCCGTTTAAGTTATTGCTAAGAAAAACTTGATTATGGAATGATGAAGGATTTTACACATAGAATTTTTTATACTTTTTAAGATATTACGATGATGCAATAATGTGAATAATAAAGTGCGTCATTTCGATTTAAAATAGATTTTGGAATGACCCTTATGAAGGCGAGGATCTTCTTTTTGTCAATAAGGTCAGTATAATGTTAGAGGATGTAATTTCAGAAATAGTTGAGCTGTTCTGGAAATCGAAGAGAACAGCGGCGGTGTTTAGACACTCTCTCTCTCTCTCTCTCTCTCTGCCAGTAGGTCATGGGTTCAGTCACAAGCATCGCCGTTTCGTTGGCGTGCCATTCGATGGAACCATTCATGGAACTTGGAACGACCTTGTACAGTCGTACGCAGAAATATTTCGTCGATTGTGACGTTTATCTGGGGCTGTCACGTAAGGTAGAAATGAAGATAGATCGGAAAACGCTTGAGAAAATACATAAAAGCATATCCATATTTCATAATTTATAATTGATTGAAAAAATGTTATTACGATGCGTATAATTATATAATATA